TCGCCTTCACCAAATTTCTCCGATTCCGTCGATTTGCGCTCTTCCATAGGCACATGCAGAACCTAACACAAAAATTATTTATGTTTATGTAAGTGGCATTCTTTAAAGTACGGTTAACACCTGTTGTTTCACTCACCTGAGTTTTCTGCGAGCTGGTCACACGTGCAATTGCGGGCGCTGCAAGGGGCGCACCTGAAGACGAGTTCGTTGGCAAAGCCGGGAACAGATCGTCATAGCTAAATGTGGGCTGGGCATTGTCGGCGCCGGTGCTGCTGGTGGGCGTAGCCACCGGAGTGGGCGACGATGGCTGATCGTTGGACGACACCAGCTCCTGGCCATTGTTGAGTGCGTTTGGTTGTTGCTCAATGATAACTACTTTGGATAAACGGGAAGATTAAATATATTTATAAAGCCGCATGGGAAAGTGTTTAGGTAAATGGATTACCGTTAGATTCCTCCATCACTGCTGCTTGCATTACTTAAAAAAAGAGAAGAGTCCTTTTTCGTTCCAAGTCGTTACAGTAACACTTTAAGTAAAATAAGGGGAAAATAATGAAAATATGGGGAATTGGTAAAATATCTATGAATATTGTAGTGGAGGGTAATTTGAGATATTAGAAGGGTAATATGAAAAATACTGGGAATATTTTATGAACTCTTGATATATAATTCCTTTTCTTAAAGTAGCTTAAGGGTATTATTAAATATTATACGAAAACCTAAAGAAAACACAAAAAATTAGTAATTATGTATATAATGTAAGGAAATTGTTTGGTAAACGATAACAACATATGACGTGACTAATAAAAAACTTTAATCTTTTCTTTTATTTTTTTAAATATTTGCTGTTTTATTTCTTATAGTATTTTCTGTTCCTACTTATTTTACTTTTATATAGGTATTTAATTTTCCAATAAATAAGCCAAGTTCAAAGTTCTGGTAGAAGTGATGAATGAAATAACTATGGAAATATAACAATTCTTGACTTTTCTATTAACATTATATTCAGCGTCATTTTCCCTAGATTTAGTATAAACATCGAAGCTTGTCTATTATGATTATCTACATAGATATATTTATTATCGATTTACGATCAGACTAATGACCCAATAACTCAAAAATAACATTTGTTTACTAGGTATTATTTTAGACGAAATATCTTAAGTTTCAAATGACAAACAATTGCTGTTTGAACAACTGTCGCTTAACATTTAACTGAACTTTCTGAAAGCTGAGCCATTATACATCTGCCTATGTATATACATATATATATATATATATACAACATTTTGTTCTTCTTTTGCTGTGTTCAGTCGCTTGCCTGGTAGCGAACGAAAATAAATCCTAGATAAACTAGAAACACAAGCATTAGGCACATAAAAATCAACTTTGGGTCTTGATAAGGCAGCTCGACCCGCATGTCGTTGACGCTCCGATGATAACACGCCTGCTGCTTTTATAGGTAGAGTCGGGCAGAGGACCGGGGTCTCGACTCGCTCAGCTGATAAACCAATTCTATTTAAGCGTTAGACATTAGTTTTTTTTTTTTAACTAAACAGAACGAGAAATGGCCACGTAATGACTATGCCAAAATATTGGGCATATATATATATATATATACACATAGACATTCGCATTGAATTTATGAGAAGGTCCGCTTTTGAGCATCGGGTGATAAGTGGACAATTTTGTTGCTCCACCAACGGCCACGTTGGCAAAAATTTTCGAAGCAAATAGCTGATAGTTATCGATCAAGCTGATAAGAGCCGAGATATAAATACACTCGCATACACATATATATACTTAACTGCACGGCAAGTGCACAAATACTTATATAAATACTGTTATTAGTATGTACACAAGAAAAGTCCGGTTTATACCAGTGAAAGGTTAAGAAACGGCTAAGAGAGAGATCGAGAGTAGCAGCATTCTTTCTGACAAAAGTATTTCAACCGAATACCGTTAAAGACATGCACTTGTTCAAAGCTGGTTGGCCGTCTGTACGTCAGTGTGTGTGTGTGTGTGTGGTTTTCTAAATCAGCGCCCAACAAGTTTTTTAGCCTACATTTTTCTTCTGCTTTAACAGCAACAGCAGCCAGAAGAACAACACAAGACGTTGCCACTATCACCGCCATTGATTTCACATAGACACACACACACGCACAAATACACAAAATGAACGAAAAAAGGAAAGCGAACTGTGCCAAGCCGATAAGAAAATACTCTGCAACCAAAAACACTTCACACACAGCAAATTCTAAAGTTAATATGAAAGAACGAGTTTAAATTATCTGTGCATCTATACTTATATTTTTAAATTAGTTTCATTTTTGGTTCCACAGCTATGCCAAACATTTTCTAGATAATCTACATGTTACGTGCGCAAGCGTTACAAACTGCACGTAAATATCATTGATGCTCCACACGCATGAGCGCATAAAAATGTGTCAAAAGAAGAAACACGCTAAATGCGAACGAGCGAGTGAGAGAGTCAAGCTTGATGAAATGCTCTGTGTGGCGGGGAGTTGTGTGAGAGGGAGCCATAAAACCGGATGATAGCCGGCAACTACATAAAATGATCGGCAAGTGTATGTGTAGATGTCTCTCGTGTGTGTGTGTTTATGTGCGCGTAAATAAAATTGTATTTGTGTGTGTGTTGTGGCTCTGCACTGCATGCGCACTTCTTGATTTTTTCGTGTGTTGTCACTGCCTTTGTATTGGTGGATTGGCACCTTTCGAGGCGAGCTCGAAAAGAAACACAGGTAACAAAAAATTAAACACACACATACAGTGAAACACACATATGCATACATGTGCAGACATATGTAAATCTTGCCATGCATATGCATGCGCTGCAGCGCCGTTGACGTCGACAAGACAACCAAAGTTCAGCTTGAACATTTTCTATGCACATTTACATATAGAAATTTTTTTCTTTTTTTGGTAAGGTGCTTAGACCAATATTAATTTAAATGCTGTTACTTAAGCAAATTGTGCCTGTTGTTTGGCTTAGCGGTACTCCTCTTGTCAGATGAGTTGAAGCAGATATATGTGTATGTGTACACAAAAAAACCTTGACGTAGCCAGTTTTGCATGAAAGTCGACTGCAGGTATTCAAAAGAAGACATTTACTTCTTTGAGCTGGCAAAGCAGTGTTGTCGAGTTGCCTTTTTCCCGTCAAATTTCGACTTAGCTACATTTTTGATTTTAGTTTAGCTTTTTTTGTACTTGCATTACCTTTAAAACTAGCTCGAAAGTTGTCAGCACTGGGCTATGTGTAAAGTGCTTAATTATGCAAATGTATACAAAAATATTCTGTCGATTTCATGATCGTAAACATTTTTATGCAGGTTGTTCAACTTACTGTACTGTAAAATCCAAAAAATCCGGCCTATATTTGTCCGTTAACAAAATCCAGTTTGATCAACTTGGCGTGTCTCCAGCTGCAAAACACACAATAAACATGTAAAAGAATTTTAATTATTTAATCTATTGTGAATCAGAACATGTTAAACAGCAGAAGGCAATAAAGATGGCACACTGCTTCAATTTCAAACTAAAAACAAAAGGAAAAACATGTTTTCGTGTTGCCGCCCCAAATGCGCTACACTGCAGTGCAATTGGTGGAGCATATGGCAACGTTGGCAAGTCTCTGCCCCGTGTTTATTAACACAAATGTGCATAAATTCAATAGAGAGAGTATAGGAAGAGATGGAGGTAGGGAGAGAGAGAGTGAACGCTGCCCTATGGCAAAAGCTGACGGCGACCTTTATGCATAAACATGCGGGCCACTTATTGGACAATTATTATTGTTGTTTTTGTTGTTCTTACTGCAGTTGAGTGCATAAAAAGTGGAGCATAAAATATGTGTGCGTATGTTTATATGTGTGCGTGTGTAGGCGGAAGCTAAAGAGTAAAAGAGAAAGAACGCTTAGTGCGTAGTAGTAGTAAATATTCTGTTAGAGCGAATGCTGCCACTTGAAATGGGTGAAAGGTGTGTTACGATTTCAACTTGTTTGAGCGTGTGGCAGAGCTACAACAAAGTCTGGTCTTTTTAGTTAGATGTAATGTACGTGAAAGACGAAATACTAAAAGTTCAAAAATCGTATGGCTTATGCTCACACACACACACACAAGCACACAGAGGCACGCGCGCACTACCACAAGCATAAATGCCGCCGACTATGTCTGCTGTTGCTGCTGCTCCCGCTGCTGTCAATCGGACATAGACACACTCGCGCACATATATAACAATGTGCATGTGTGTGCTTAGTTTTATTGGTGTATGCGTGAAGTCTCCGCCGCCGTCGCTACCGCCGCAGCGGACAACGAAATATGGCTCTGACTTTTGAGTCTTTAACTGTGTGTGCATGTACGATGTACGGCGACGACGACGACGGCGGCAGCGGCGACGGCACTCGCAGCGACAGACTGGCCCGTACGGTTATGATAATACTATTAAAAAACACGTTGTTTTTTATAATATGCATGATTCAATTTGATTTTCTATTTAACTATTTCCCGAGTATTTCACTCGATCGTGGGGTTTTGACTTCAATTCTATTTTGTAAAATGCAAGCAAGAAGTTTCCACGTTGCGGCAGCCGCGGCCTAAATTTTCTCTCTAGTCGCCGCCGCCGCCTTCCTTCGACCCACACAAAACGTAAATTTAAGCACATTTTTGTTTAACTTGTGGAATTGCAATTGCTCAATTAGGCGCGCACAGTTTGTTGTTAGTATTTCAGTGCATTTGTTAAAAACAGTTAAACTAATTTTAGTTAAAAACTTTCTACTTAGAACTGCAATACGCACACGAAGCGGATATCAACTCCAAGTAAAGTGAATGAATGAGCACTGAGCGAACGTGGCAAAATGCAGGCGTGTTGCCACATGGCGTTTTTTGCAGTGGCAACGCTGTGGGTAAAAGAAATTTCGTGCTACCAATCAGCCTGTTGTGGGTGATTTAGCAGCCGCAACTATCGATAACAAATGTGGCAACGCCCGTTCAACTTGTTGCCATTCACACAACAAAGACAAAAAGAAAAAGAGCGAGTTATAGTTTTTTTGTGTCTTGGAAAATACTCGTTCTCTTGGCATTTCCGAAATATAATTTATTTATAGCACAATCAAACACGCACAGACACACACATACAGACGCACAATATGCCAAAACTAAAGAGCTTAATACCCAATATCTTTGGCGGCAACAGAGACGCAAACAGTAACAGTAACAACACAAACATGAATGCGGAGGGACGTTTGGAAACAGATGCATTGCCAGTTAGCGAGGCAGATAACGACATTAGCGGCGCATTATCGCTGACCTCGAATACGCCAACACCATCCGCTGATCTAACCGAATCGGTGCTACGCGAACTCTCCGATCCCAATTACAATTCCATGGATGTGGTGCAGTCGGCGCAAATACCAGGAAGTGCTCTAGTAAATGGCAACAACAGCACTATGAACACTATGAACGTGCATAGTGCACAACAACAGGTGGTGATGAACTTCTCGAATGCCAGCAATTTGCATTTTGGCTCCGTATACAATTTCAATCAAAATCTAACTGGCTGCAGTTCACGCAAAGGCAGTACTAGTACAACGGAGGATGTGGCAGGAGCGTTGCCAGCCGATGGCAAAGTCCGACACTCTGTGCCAAGAAAAACAGTTAGCATCGTAGCGATGATGCAGTCGCAGCAGGAACCAGACGAACGATTGCTAGATGCGGTGGCCACCCACCTAGGCGAGGGCTGGAAGCAAGTGATGCGTGATCTGGGCCATTCCGAGGGTCAGATCGAGCAGGCGATAATTGATCATCAAATGCATGGCAATATCAAAGAGGTTAGTCATGCCGCACTTACCCCACGCTTTGAAATATTAATAGGCATCTATGGCTTTCAGGTGATTTATCAACTGCTGTTACAGTGGCTGCGCAGCGCTGACGATGGCGTTGCCACTGTGGGACGACTCACCACCTTGCTGTGGGAATCCCAGCATCGGGAATGTGTGCAGCGCATGAAACTCGTTTGGAAAGCGCTCGAGAAGCGCAAGACATTCAGTTAGAAATCCAGGGCTACACCATATCTACTTAGTATAAGTCTCTAATTTAGTTGCTTTCAAACCCCACAAACAACTCAGCAATTAGCGTAGAGCATTCTAATTTTTGTGCAATAATATTTGTAAAACTAATTTTTTAGACAAAAAACAGGCATTGTAAAATATTTTTATATACGTAAACTTCGAATAGGTGCCTTATAAAAACAAGTTTGTCCAAGAACTCTTTAATTTTTTAAATGTGATAATGAATTTGTTCCAATTATTAAAAATGATGGCAATAAACCAGAGGTGCGATTATATAATTGTTTATACATATGTATATATGTATATATATATATTAAACAAATGTGAAAACTGTAATTAATATAATTCTTTTATATATTTTTGCACATATGCAAAATCTTTAACTCAAATGTATTTACATTTTTCTATTATGTCACTGATTTTATATACATTCATTTCAAATCTCTCTCTAAACGATCTTTGTGATCTTAGCGGTAAACATATCAATTAACATTTGTGCGCCATTCCCATTGATTGACTGATAATCAGGCAGCTGTTCCATGCGCGCTATCCAGGCGCTAAGTTTTGGATAACGTTTCGATTCGATGGGTGCCAGGCCCAATAAACTGGCCACCGATGAGATGCAACTAAAGTCAGCCAAGGTCAACGTAGAACCGCACAAATAGTTTTGATTAGCCAGAAACGCCTCGACGAAATCGTACATTTCGTAGATGCCATCGATCATACGACGCGGCACCTCAGTCTCATTGTGAAAGAAGAGCGGCACAGAAATATTTCTTATGCAACCTTGAAATACAACGCCCGATTCGAAGTGCAGTCGCTGATCCACCACAGCACGCTTGTAGAAATCCTTGGGATACAGTGCATCATCCTTGCCATATTTGCGTACCAGGTACGCCATAATGGCATGAGAGTCCCAAATGCATTTGCCATCGTCCTCCAGCATTGGTACCGTGTGCTGTGGATTCTTTAGAGTGAACTCCTTGGTGCGCTGCTCGCCAGCCAACAGATTGACTAGCTTGTACTCGTATTGTAGTCCAAGGGCATGCAGTGTCATCTTGCAGGCACGCACAGGAGGACTGGGTTCTAAGCCGTATAACACCAATTTGCCCATTTCTATGTATTCTAGCTGGAGACGTCTGTAAACGTGGAAAGCTTTTGTTCTACTGAATCAATCTCCACTCGATTTTTTTTCTATAGTTCAAGTGAAGCTCTCCGCCTATCTCTCGCTCTCTCTATCTCTGTCTGTCGCTTTGAGCTGTAATCGCTAGTCGCTTTAATTACTATCTGAGAGTATTCCATTTGGTTGTTCTGATTATATAGTTATACTACATATATTATACACGTACACAGCTTAGCAGCAGCCCCAACTGCCAATCCATTAATCAAAGGGGCTTGACCAATAAACATGCATAGATTCAGCTAGAAATAACTATACCTAACCTAATAATAGCTAGAAACAGCTATATTTAAGCGACTACTAGATATAAATGGCTATATTTAACTTAGTAATAGCCAGAATAAGCTTTTGTAATGCTAGTACTAGCTAGAAGGGGCTACAGTTAATCTAATACTCGATACTAGCTGAACACAACGCTAATAAATATCCAATTTTCATCAGAAACAAACATGCTTTTTATATCAGAAGTCTGTCGGTTCGACTTTAAGCCTAATAGATCTATAACCTATCAAAATATTTATAATTATCGTTACTTATATAATACACAATCAAAAATATATACAACATTTCGTTTCGTTCTTGGAAGACCTTTTTATAGCACTCAAAACAACAAATCTTATCAGTGAAAACAACAGAGACTCAGGTGCTGATAGCACAAAATGTGCAAGGTAAGGGAGACACGTGCTTAAGGCATTTAAAAAGAAATGGTCAGGGTTCGTGTAACACTTATATTTATGAGTGAAGTTTATTATATAAAGCAATATACACACCCGTATAAGATTTTTGGCTAGAAAGTCAAAGAAAAACTAGCTAGCACTGGCATTTATTGACAACTAGCTAAAGATATCAAATATGCTGATAGCTTGTATGCGAATATGTATAAGACCTACTTAAGAGCTTAAAATCGTGTCCCAAAAACTCAACATTTGCCATAAACACTCTTAAAATGATTATGTCACATAGCGCTAAGTACAAAGCTTGATCGATGCAAGAAACTACAGCTAGCATAGTAAAACATTACATATGTACTTAAGGAATTTAAGCTGAGAGAATAATTCACCAAGCTTCATAAATTCCCATAACTAAGAGAGCCTTACCTTAGGTTTTTTTTTCAAATAGAAAGAGCCATTTTGGGTATACTTGCCATCTGTATATTTTACATTGAAAAAAAGCCGCCACATATAATTATTATTTCTGCTACTGTGCTCTTATTCGGCCACTGTGAACTTTGCCTTCTTCACTGAAGCTATAAAGAGACGTGCCCCTTCCGCATTCTCTGCATAAACTGGCAGCTGTTCCATGCGACGCATCCAAGCTCTAAGTTTGGGATATTTAACGGGATCTATTTCTACATATGCAACCATTGAGCTTATGGAAGAGATGAGACTAAAGTCTGCAATGGTCAACTGATCGCCAGCAATGTACTCGTGATCCTCCTGATTGAGAAAGGCTTCGACAAAATCATAAGCCTCTACAATTGCCTGTATGCGCTCTTTAGGTACCTTTGTTTGGCCAAGGAAGAGAACCATCCGCGTTATGCTTATCAGCGCGTGGGCAAATACCACGCCCGACTCAAAATGCAATCGTTGATCCACCAATGCGCGCTTGTAGAAATTCTTAGGATACAGGGCATCATCCTTAGCATATTTACGCACGAGGTAAGCCATTATGGCATGCGAGTCCCAAAACCGAGCTGGCCCATCCTCGAGCATAGGCACCGTGTGCTGTGGATTCTTCTGTAGATAAGCAGGTGATAGTTGCTCTGCCTTCAGCACATTCACATTAACGTATTTGTATGCTAATTGCAGAGCAGCCAACGTCATTTTGACTGCACGGGTTGGTGGACTGGGATCCAATCCGTAGAGCGTCAAATTAACCATCTTGCCGGTTCGCAAGCTGAACGATTACTAATAGCATAAGAGGAAATTTCTCTCGATGCCGCCAAAAATAATAATAATAAGAGAGGCAAAACGTATGTCAAAGCATAGTACACAAAACCGAAATAGACACTGCTAATTTAATAAATAGATGACTCTCTTTTCTTAAAGATCCATAAAAATAAAAACAAACAGTCGCAAAGAGAATAATTGTCTTCCTTAGTATAGTAAGGTTAATTTATAAAGCAAAACCTAAAAAGAGCAAAAATAGCTTAACAAAAAAATTTGGCAATTTTGTTTTACCGTTTGAAATGTATCTAATTATGTTTCTCTTTCTCTCTTAATATCACTCACAGCGAAGCACTCTTTTATAATCAACTGCGCAGTTGACTCTTTTGATAACAGTAGAAACAGAATATATATTATCGATTATTAAATAAAAGAAAACATTTATTAAATAGTTTAAGATAACACTATATCACTTAGGCAACTACTTTGAAAGGCTTACTTTTAATAGCAGCTCCAAATTGTTGTGCACCTGTGCTATTTTCCGCATAATAGGGCAACTGCTCCAATCGCTTGATCCAAGCACTCAACTTGGGATATTTAGTGGCTTCAACAGGCACGTAGGCCACCAGAGAGCTAATGGAAGAGATGAGACTGAAGTCGGCAATCGTCAGCTGGTTGCCGGCTATGTAGGTCTGATCCTTAAGGAAAGCCTCAACAAAATCGTAAACCTCAGTAATCGCATCAATGCGCTCTTGCGGCACCTCCGTCTTGCCGAGGAAGAGAACCAGTTTGGTAAGGCTGCGCAGGGCATTGGCAAACACAACGCCCGACTCGAAGTACATGCGCTGATCGACCAGAGCACGCTTTACTAGATCCTTGGGATACAGTGAGTCATCCTTGCCGTATTTGCTCACCAGATACGCCATTATGGCATGAGAGTCGGCAATGTTTGCACCTGCATCTTCCAGCAATGGTACCGTATGCTGAGGATTCTTCTTCAGATATTCCTCGGAATGCTGCTCCTTATTCAGCACATTAACAATTTTGTAGTCATAGGGTAATTGCAGCGCAGCCAGCGTCAGTTTAACGGCACGCACAGGCGGGCTGGCATCGATACCATAGAGAATAGGCTTCACCATATTGTGTACTGTGTTCGGCGTCTGAATAATAACTGACCGGCCTAGAAGAGCGTGGCAACGCTTTTATATGATAGCGACGCTCAAGAGAGTCGAACATGTTCCACTGAATTTACTTACGTGTTCATAGTGAACTTAGCGACTGTTAACTTCCCACGCTCTTTAATTTTTAACTGTCTCAGTAGTTACTGTTTGTACTGCAACGAACTTATATGTGTTTGCATTGATTTCTAACTCGATTGAAAGCAAATGTTAATGTATTTTTAATTAGTTACATAGAGAAAAAGTGAGGCAGATTAAAATGAATTACTGTTTGCTTTATTTTTATGCAAGTAACACAGAACTTAAGCAGTGCATAAGTAGGTGCTTAGATGTTTGCTATTGAACTTTGCTTAGCTCATGCTCTCTTAGTTATTTTTAGAAATTTACTGTTCGCTAAATGTTCATTGGCTGTTCTAGTAGTTTCTCTTCTTCTCTCACTATACGTGGAAACATATGCTTATGCTGACTAGTCGATTGCTTGCTCTCTTAGTGTTTGAAGTATTTGTAAATAAGCTATTTTAACTGTGATCGCGCTCTCTTCAATGCGCTGACGCGTCGTGACTCTGCATTTTCCATTATACTTTGGTAAACAAATATTTCACCATAAAGAGAGTGTTTTTATAATCTGCTATTCAAATAAATGGTTTGTGTTAGCTAATTAACATATATTAGTTAACTTAGGAATTTATTTTAATAAAATGCAACCTAGGTTGCAATTGTAAAGTTTTTCGACTTAACAATTGTCTCTAGTTGTGTAGCGCCCATGCCATTGGCCTCCTCGTAGTAGGGCAGCTCCTTAATACGTTCCAGCCAGGCCAAAATTTTGGGATACTTAGCCGGATCTATCGGCAGGTAGATCCACAAGCCGCTTATCGATGATACAAAGCTAAAGTCAGCTACGGTCAGCTCATTGCCAGCCACAAAATCGTTATCACCCAAAAACAATTCCACTAGATCGTAGATTTCAGCAACGGCATCAATTCGAGACTGTTCGATGACTGTTTCTCCCAGCATTAGGATACCTCTTGTTATGGGACGCAGTGCACCGGTGAACATGAGACCCGAATCGAAGTGCAGCCGTTGATCCACAATGGCACGCTGATGATGATCCAAAGGATACAGTGCATCATCTTTGCCATATTTACCCACCAGGTAGGTCATTATGGCATGCGAGTCCCAAATGCAGCCTTCGTCATCCTCCAGCATCGGCACCGTGTGCTGTGGATTCTTTTGCAGAAACTCAGGTGTCAAATGCTCCCCGTTCAGCAAATTAACGTGCACAAGCTCGAAGGGCAGCTCCAGCGCCTTGAGTGTCAGCAAACAGGCACGCGTCGGCGGACTTGCCTCCAAGCCATAGATTAAAAGTTTCACCATGCTTTAGCGTTGATTGATACAAGGTGACTAACTGCCAGGTGCAAGTCGGCAGGACCTTATATAGTGGAGCTAAGCCTGGGAAATGTTGCCTGGGCTGAGGGTCACCTTGGTGTTCGGTGAATGAAGCCTGCTGCCAGAGGAATAGGAAGAGGAAGGTCAACAAACTCAGCTCGTAAAAAACAAACGATGTCCAAGTAAATAGTTAATTATGCACCCATTTCCATATAGCTCATATTAGTGGGGGACTATTTCAGATAGTATATCAAATTAAATTAAGGTGTTTCTATACTAATTAAGGTAATTTTTAACAATTAGGGATATTAAATTGCTTCTTTTCTTATTAGAAAAAATAATTCAATAAAGAATAATTAACAAATGAGTCAGATAAGTTTTATATTGCTTAAAATATTTAAGAATTTGAATTTCATTTTTATGCCGTTTAATATATATTTATTTTATATTTCTGGTGTATAATGGCTATAATGTAATATGAAAAAAAGAAAATTATGTTTAATAAACATTAGAATAAATATATATAAAATATAAAATATGAATATATAATTAAATTTTAAAAATATTAAAATATATACGTACATTAAAAAATTATAATTTATATTTAAATTTTTTAAATTGTTTACTTTTTTTTCTAATTTATTTATTATTTAAATTTTTTTAAATTTTTAACTTATTTTATTTTCTTCTTTATTTATTATTTAAATTTTTTAAAATTTTCAACTTCTTTTTATTTTCTTATTTATTTATTATTTAAAAGTATTTATCAATATTTCAACAAAAATTTATACAATTTTTTTAGATAATATATTTTATGACAAAATTATAATAACTTTCATAATTTTAGTTTTTTATTTTTAAATGAAAAATGAATTCATATTTATTTAATATAAAAATCAATAACAAAAATTAGCGCACAAATAAAAATAATCGTACATACCTGCTGCTGCTGCTATTTTACAGGGTATCTATAGCTACTCATATTGATTTTACAGCTATTTTATTTCGATTAATTTAAATAATTTATGCATTTCAGGCACACGCAAACGCAAAGTGAATCATTTATGTGATTTGTTTAAGGGTTTTGATTAAAAATAAAACTAAAATAATCTGATGTATACTTATATACATTATATACATGAAATGATAGGATATATATATATACATATAATATCATTTCATGTATATAATGTATATAAGTATACATCAGATTATTTTAGTTATAGCTCGCTGACACATGAGTAAACATTGAGGTAAGAGATAAGATCTAAGCAGTTCAGGCACTTAACGGCGCAGCATTAATAAACACTAAAAAGAAATCTAAAAAAAAACACTTAAACTTGCAGCATTATGACGTCTTTAGATTACTTTTGGTCGTCTTTCAAATAATTAGTTGTTCGTATTATCTAATCTTATCTAATCTGGAAATGTACAAACTGAAATCGTGCACTGGTTGATGGCAGCTGTCTGTGGCAGTAGAAACTCAGTTGCCTTGGCTTGAAGCTAGCGCAGTAGCTGTTACACAGTTATAGTAGATATCTATCATATATATATACTATATCTATATTCGTAGTTGATATCATGGTGCTCGTCCTGTTTGGCACGGAACTGAGTCCGGGCGTGCGCGCTGTGCTGCTCACGTTGCGCGCTCTGGAGTTGGATCATGAATTTTTTCCCGTGGATCTGTTTGCCGGGGAGCACTTGGAGCCGTATTTCGTGCGCAAGAATCCGCAGCGTACGGTGCCAGTGCTGCAGGATAACGAGGCCTGCATCTGGGACTCGCATGCCATCATGGGCTATCTGGTGGGCAAATACGCATTCACCGATGCCCTGTATCCACGTGATCCTCTGAAGCGTGCCTTGGTCGATCAACGTTTGCATTTCGATTCGGGCATTTTGTTTGTGCTCTTCAAGCAGCTGCAGCACCTGATCTTCCAGGAGCAGGTGGCCGAGCTGCCGAAGCCGCTAATTGAACAGGTGCATAAGGCCTACGAGCTGCTCGAACAGTTTCTGGACGGACGCAACTATATGGCCGGCCAGCTGGTGACCATAGCGGACTTCAGCATCGCAGCCACGCTCAGCACACTGCATCTGAGCTATGCGCCCGTCGATGCTGTCGGGTATCCCAAGTTGAGCGAATGGCTGGCTCGAATCTCCGGCTTGCCCTACTACGAGCAGGCGAATCTGCGGGGCGCTCGCCAAATGGCGGAACTGGTGCGCACCAAGCTGCCCAAACAGTTCGACAAGCTGTGGCTCAAGGCCTTCGAGGACATCAAGAGCGGCGCGGGCAGGCAGCCACTAAAGTAAATAACCACTAAAATGATGATTTTTTATGATATTTTTTTTGCCTAATCTAAACACGATTTGAACATATATATATATATATATATGTATCAAATTTCATCAGTCTGCGCTTACCTCTTGCTCTGTTCCTATTAAAACTTTTCAACTTTTTGCGCTCATTAAAATTTAAAAAAAAATGATGCCTTTTTTATTTAAAGAAGAAGAAAACACAAAAATGAGACGCTTGAAAAGCGCAAAGTTTTTGCCGTGTCGTGCATGCTAAAGTTGTTAAATCATAATTAATTTATGACGCCGTCAGCTAGGACTTGGGACACGGGACACGCCGGGTGTCGCGTGTCGGAAGTTCGGAGCTGGGAGTTCTCAGGAGTTCGGGACCAGGTGTGCGGCTCTTGTAAATGGAACCTGCCTAAATGCCTGACTGAGCATCGCTGCCACTGCCTTTACCCTTGCCCACCAGCCACGCCCACTCGTTCGTCCCTTCGTCTTGGCGCACAAGCAAGCGACAGTTAAGAGGGGGTGGGGGCGCAGGCGGACCGGGTTGACGTGGGCAAACTAATTGGTTTAATTTCAACTTTTACTTTGGACATTCGTCTCGCTGCCGACCACGCCTATCGCCCACGGCGTCCACCTGGACGTAGGGTTTTTGTCAAGCTTTCTGCTTGGCCAGATTCGTTTGCGTTTAATGCGACGTGTTTTTTGTTTTTTTTTTTTTTGCATTTCCCGTTGTACGAACGAACTTTGTTGCGACTTTTTCCTTTTTTGCTTCGCTGGCTGTATCAATTTATTGTAGCATGCTTTTAGGCGCTCTTTGAAATATCTCTTTCTCCCTCTCTCTCTCGCTCCAGTGGAATTGAATTGGTTTTCCATGTTGGGGGGGAAGCACGGTCCATAAAAGCGGCGGAAACAAGATGTGGCATAAATGGAGGGGAGAGGTGACAGGGGAGAGGGGAGAGAGGAGAGAGGAGAGAGGAGAGGGAGAGGGAGAGGGGAGAGGGGAGAGGGGAGAGGGGAGAGGGGAGAGGGGAGAGGGAGAGGGGAGAGGGGAGAGGGGAGAGGGGAGAGGGGAGAGGGGAGAGGGGAGAGGGGAGAGGGGAGAGGGGAGAGGGGAGAGGGGAGAGGGGAGAGGGGAGAGGGGAGAGGGGAGAGGGGAGAGGGGAGAGGGAGAGGGGAGAGGGGAGAGGGGAGAGGGGAGAGGGGAGAGGGGAGAGGGGAGAGGGGAGAGGGGAGAGGGGAGAGGGAGAGGAGGGAGAGGGAGAGGGGAGAGGGGAGAGGGGAGAGGGGAGAGGGGAGAGGGGAGAGGGGAGAGGGGAGAGGGGAGAGGGGAGAGGGGAGAGGGGAGAGGGGAGAGGGGAGAGGGGAGAGGGGAGAGGGGAGAGGGGAGAGGGGAGAGGGGAGAGGGGAGAGGGGAGAGGGGAGAGGGGAGAGGGGAGAGGGGAGAGGGGAGAGGGGAGAGGGGAGAGGGGAGAGGGGAGAGGGGAGAGGGGAGAGGGGAGAGGGGAGAGGGGAGAGGGGAGAGGGGAGAGGGGAGAGGGGAGAGGGGAGAGGGGAGAGGGGAGAGGGGAGAGGGGAGAGGGGAGAGGGGAGAGGGGAGAGGGGAGAGGGGAGAGGGGAGAGGGAGAGGGGAGAGGGGAGAGGGGAGAGGGGAGAGGGGAGAGGGGAGAGGGGAGAGGGGAGAGGGGAGAGGGGAGAGGGAGAGGGGAGAGGGGAGAGGGGAGAGGGGAGAGGGGAGAGGGGAGAGGGGAGAGGGGAGAGGGAGAGGGGAGAGGGGAGAGGGGAGAGGGGAGAGGGGAGGGGAGAGGAGAGGGGAGAGGGAGAGGGGAGAGGGAGAGGGGAGAGGGGAGATTTTAGATTTTAGAGATATTTTATTTTATAGATTTTATATTTTATATTTTATTTTATATTTTATATTGTATATTTTATATTTTATATTTTATATTTTATATTTTATATTTTATATTTTATATTTAAATTTTATATTTTATATTTTATATTTTATATTTTATATTTTATATTTTATATTTTATATTTTATATTTTATATTTTATATTTTATATTTTATATTTTATATTTTATATTTTATATTTTATTTATTTACTTTTATTTATGAAAAATTCACAATTTATATTTGATGCTTCTTAGTATGGGAAACTTTTCGCCCGCACATTGACCTCGGAAATCATCAAGGGACAGATCGTGGATGGCCACACCTCCCAGGCCTTGAGCTTGAACAAAACCAGCCTTAATCGCCGCCGTTGTGGGATCCTCATAACCCACCCAGATGCCATTCTCCCCATTATCATCAGCCGCACGATAAGCATAGATGCCAAATCGCTTCGTGGGATCGCCCACCTTGCGCAGATGCTCTGCATTCGTGTCCTTGCCCTGACCTAGATGATGCTGCAACAGATCACAAATCTCTGGCCAACTAAGCAAACCGGGCTGATTCGTCTGCCGGCCACCGGGAGCAGGTCCTTCCGTATCGGCAATTGGCGGAAATCCTGTGATGCCCGATTTGCCTGTCATTTTCCATGTACGTCCATAGCTCGCAATGCCAATGTTTAGCTGCTGTGCATTGGCCGTATTATTGAGCCAATACTGTACCTGCTGGTTAACATTGTGCTTCGCATCGCGATCGTACATGGCATATAGTGGAGCAGGCAGATCCGCTTGCTTGGGATCACGTTCTGGTGTTTGGAAGTCGTAGGTGCCCAAATTGACGAAGTCCACAAAGCTCAGCACGGATGGTATATCTATGAAGACTGCAGCAGAGCTTGAAGTGAGATTCTAGTTGATATTGCATGAGGTACTTACGCTCTGCATCCACGTGTGGCAACATGCTGAGTGTCAACTGCTTGCCATTGCGCTGCAGCTCCAGTCGCAGTTCCCTGACAAACGAGGCAAATTGCGCCTTGTGCTCCTCGGCCTTGGGATCGACCGAGCTGCTGCTGAACCAGCCCTTGAATGAGCTCCAGGCACGCTTCAAGGCGCCTTGCTGCTGCTTGGGCTTAAGTGGCGGGAACTGCCAAGCCAGGTCCAAGCCATCGAAGCCATATTTAGTCAGCTCCTCTCTGACGCTGGCCTTGAAGCTATTACGACTCTCCGGCAGCTCCAGCAAACTCAGATACTTAGCATTATCCGGCACGCCCTCTGCATTCAGATCTCGCCCACCGCCCACAGAGAGCAGTATACGCAAATGTGGATGCTTCTGACGCAGCGAGGTAATATGACTATAATGCTGACGATTATAGCTAAGCTCGGGACTTAAGCTCTTGATCTTAAAGCTCTCCGCATCGATGCCGGCATAGCCATAAATCAGGTAGTTGCAAAAGCCCAAGGCGGGCTCCAGTTCGTTCAGTGAAAGTTGTGCGGGCCCTGCAAGAAAACAAAAACATGAATTTGTACACATTATATTTGTGTATCAAGCAGAAGAGATAACCTCTGCTTCGCCCTGCCATTTGGCATATAAAGATTAGGCTTTGCTCACCTTCACGCACGAAACTCGACGCGTCGTAGTAGCAAACGAGCTTGGCCACATCTGCTTGGCTTACAGGGCAGCTACCCAGCCACAGCACAGCTACTAGGAATATCCAAGCTTTGGGCAACATCTGGCTGAGTGGAGGAGCACTGTGTGTGCTCGCTTTGACTTAGGTTGGGAAACTGAAATGCTGAAATCTTGCTGATAGCATGAATACTAAAGCTCGGGCGCAGCTTGAAACTAATTCAAAAACAACTCGGCGATAAGGTGATGGCATTACTTTGACTATAGACGATGCTCAATAATTGGGATTTGTCATAAATCAGCATGTGTATGGTTGTACTGGCTGCAGTACATCTATAGAGAGATATATATTATATATATGTATAATCGCTTTCCAGCAGCTTTTCACGCTTGCACGAACAATTTTCCAAAACACTGAACAATTTTAGCTATTTATCTTTGGTGTGCAACATCAAACGATTACTCAATCACTTAATAAGTCAATCACTTAGGTGAATGAGTCTCTAAGTCAATTTGTCAGTCGCTCAGTCAGTGCATTTGTGCATCAGTCTATCGGTACATCAATCAGTCTGCACAGTCAATCAGTTTGTTGCTGTCAAGCAATCAGTGCGTCAGTCAATCAGTTCTTTAGCTAGTCTATAAGTCAATCAGTGGAACACAAATTCAATCAATCAGTCAGCAAATTTGTATGTTAACAGTCTATCAGCCAACCAAGTGGATCAATCAAGCCGTTAGCCCGTCTGCTACTCTATCAGTCAATCGGCTAATCCGAAAGTCAATCAGACAGTCAAACAACTGCTTTATTTACCAGTCAATAAATCATGCATTGTTCAGTCGAACTCAGCTAATCAATTTTTTAGTCAATCAATTTTTTTGACTCAATCAATCATTTAGGCAATTTTCAAATTTTGTCAACTGGGTAATCAATCAGCGAATGCTTGATTGATTGACCGAGTCAAGCACTAACACACTGAGTATAAATATGTCTATATCTATACCTATTCATCAATCAGTCAATCATTCAAATCAGACAGTCAGGGAGTAACTTATTTAGTGAGTCAATCAGGCGGCAGTCAATCAGTTAATCAGTCAATTTAACAGTCATTTAACAGACAATTTATTAGTCATTCAAGCAGCTCTGTTTGTAGTCAATCAGTCAATAAAACACTGATTAGACAATCACTCAATCAATCAATCAATCAGTTAGTAAGTGAAGCACTCTGCTCTTTGTCTACTTGAGCAGCGAATCAGCTATGCACTCAAATCACTCAGCTCAGTAGTCAGTCAGGTAGTCACTTAGTCAGTTCAACAAGCTGTCAATCACTCCATCAATCACTCAGAGCGCAGAATCTTATGTAACTTTGAAGACTTTGTTCTTGACAATTTGTGTATAGAGCAAAGATTAAAGGGTTTAGTGCTTATAATCATGTAACTTAGTCTTATATATACTTGGGTACATACATATAAATTTATATATAATTATAAATATATATATATATATATATATATATATATATATATATATATATATATATATATATATATATATATATATATATATACACTTAAATATATACTCCTCCATTTAGTATCTAAGAAAACTTAACCAATCTCAATATTCAATTAGCTCACATCAACTTTTCACTTAGTCGCAATTTGGCTTTTGCCAGCGCATAGCTGCTTAACAGCATTTCAATTACGTAGTGTGATTAAGACATCAAGACTTAACGCATTCCAGGGCCGTACACATATGCACATATATCTATAGATATATATCTATGGCTAATGCAAGACAACCACCAAAAACACAAATCCCCAACTCAAAAAGGAGGAGATTGAAATGGATTTTACTCGGTTATGGCTAATGGGGTTGTGTGGTTCAGCCTGAAGTGGGCTTTGCTGAGCCGCCATGCTCAACACACACACACACACACACACACACACACACATATATATATATATATAGAGAGCTGTCATTAGTTGCTGTCGCTTTTGCCAGCGGCACTCTTTGGCTCTTGTCTCTGGCTCATGTCACTTTGACGCCATCACACCTACACACAAAGCAAACAACATACAACCCCCTCAATATGCCCTGCCACCCCTCTACCTCGCTACCCCCTCGCTACTCCCTCGCTATCCGCTCGCTATTCCCAGCTGACAGTAATGTTTTGTGACCAGCTTAAATACATTAAAGCATTCGCTGTCTGACATACAACATGGCAAATGATGAGCTACACTCACCCTTCGCACACTCCCACACACACACACACACACACAACAACAACTGGCACTTAAAACGTGCTGAGTGTCCTTTAGAGGCTTTTACATGTGCCCTCGAATGCTTTTGCCCAGTTGATTAGCAATTTCGCTCACGTGGCGCTATTTGTTGGCTTCAGTGGGCGATTGGGGGCGTGGCAATTGTTGACTGTTTGGCCTTTAGAAAAATAATTTTATTTTCCATGTTTATTTTTTCCCTCTTTTGTGCATGTAAACTTATTCAATAGCAAAACTTTTTTTCTTGCAGAAATTTTCCAGCTTTTCCTGTTTTCATCTCTTTGGCCAGCTTGTTGCTGAGTTGAGTGCCAGCACTGAAGTGTTTAAACAAATCCTTTGCGTAATTACTTTGCAGCGAAGCTCCCTCAGCTCAAATCTAGCCGCTCAGACCCTGGCAGCTTAAGCTGCTGCCTGTCTTACCCTTTCGTCTTTAATAGATTTGTCCCCAGGGCTAAAAACACAAAGCCAGGCGTAAAAGGCATTTAAAATTTACCCCATTGCAGCTGTCTCTTATAATGTTTTCATTTTAACTGTGGACTGTTTAAATGTTTTATGTTATATGGCTAACGGCATAAGCTCTAAACACGCATACGCCCAGTGCGCCGCGCCTAAAAGATGCAACAAAAAACTTCCGCTTCCGTTTGTCAAAAAAATAAACATAAATTTTATAGAATGCCAACGCATAAAAACCACACACACGCACATAAGCACACACATGTTAAAAGCCATAAAACTAACCACAAACACACACACACACACACACACTCGCACAACAGCAACAACAACGGCAGGGCGTGGCAAATCAACAGAATATTTCATATATATGGCCATGCACAGACGCCCCAGCAAAGTGCACACATGTTCATGGAAACGCCCACAATTGCCCACACACATATCATAAACACACACACACAGCCCTACTCCACAGGTTGACAATAAAACGCTGGTCGTAATAATAAACTAATAGTGCCCCAGCTGCCAAGAAATGCCTCTGACTGTCTTTTGTTCTGCTCCCACAGCCAACTGCTATGCACATATAACACACACATACATACATACATACATATATACACGCATACATATATACTTATATAAGAGATAGGAATAGAAATATATATTTGCGTAGGCAGAGCTGTGGCTATGTTCTAAACTGGGGCATTGCAGACTTTGATGAATAAACTTTGCGTTAAAAGTTTCAAGCAACTAACATTGTAATTAATGTTAAGCTACATTCAGTTAATAACAGTATGTTAATTATAGATGAGGCACAATGTTTATATACCAAGTATTACAGACCTTCTAGTACCTTGTGAAAGCCGCTAAAAAATTTATAAAATAATTTCAGTTGAGCCACGTTTAACAGTATGTTAACAACATATTCCATATTCCATATTCCATATTTCATATTCCATATTCCATATTCCATATTCCATATTCCATATTCCACATTCCATATTCCATATTCCATATTCCATATTCCACATTCCATATTCCATATTCCATATTCCATATTCCATATTCCATATTCCATATTTCATATTCCATTATTCATATTTCATATTCCATTATTCATATTTCATATTTCATATTTCATATTTCATATTTCATATTTCATATTTCATATTTCATATTTCATATTTCATATTTCATATTTCATATTTCATATTTCATATTTCATATTTCATATTTCATATTTCATATTTCATATTTCATATTTCATATTTCATATTTCATATTCCATATTCCATATTCCATGTTCCATATTCCATGTTTCATGTTCCATATTCCATATTCCATATTCCATATTCCATATTTCATATTTCATATTTCATATTTCATATTTCATATTCCATATTCCATATTCCATGTTCCATGTTCCATATTCCATGTTTCATGTTCCATATTCCATATTCCATATTCCATATTCCATATTCCATATTCCATATTCCATATTCCATATTCCATATTCCATATTCCATTTTCCATATTCCATATTCCATATTTCACATTCCATATATTCCATATTCCATATCCCACATATCCCTAGCTTCCCATATTCCAAGTTGAAAGCGCATTACAGCTTCGTCTTAGCACACACAGCCTATAGGCTGACATAGGCAGACGTACATTCCTGACTCAGTCTGTATCTAGCGCTCTGTGTAACCACTTTTGCCACTGACATATTTGCACACACAAACACACTCCTTTACACACACACACACACACACACACACACACGCTGAATCTCTTTTCGTATATGCATACTCATGGCATATTTTCACACCGGCTTAAGTAAATAGACCCTAGCTTTCTTAGGCATAGCTGCCACCACGCCCACTTGCCTGCCGCCTCCCGCTCGCACGTGAAACAAAGCGGTGGCTAATGGCTCTCGAGCTGGCAACAGCCCGTGAAGTCTCCCTGTTGTAAGTCTTTAATACAGCTGACCTGCCCGTCGATTGGGTGATTAACTTTTTGGGCAACATCTGTTGGCTGGGTGGTTGGGTGGTTGGGTGGCTGGGTGGTTGTGTGGGTGGTTTATTTGGCGTAATTAAATTGTTAACGCACACGTGTCGTCTGTTCGCCGCGTTGGCTTTAGCGTATTTATGCATGTGCATGGGTTCATTTAAGCGTAATGCTTTTTACATTGACAAATGTGGCAGCAGCAGCAGCAGCAGCAGCAGCAACATCCACGCTAATCCAGCCAAAGCCAAGCTGTGACACACAGAGAGCATGGGAGAGGAAACGAGCGAGACTGAGTGAGTGAGAGGGGGAATGCTACACACACCCATCCACGTCCTTTTTGTGTTTCCCCAAACCCAGTCACTGATTCCAGTTCACTTTGCATGGCTTACGCCCTTGGCTGGTGTTTTTAATGCTTCATTGGCTTAATTGCCAACCACACACACAGGCACACACACGCACGCACACACATCGTACGCAACTTTTAGCCAACGAAACTGAATTCAACCACAAACACGTTCATTTACCTTTTTACCAGCTACACATACCGCCCAACTCGTTGGCCATGTTCAAACTTGGTTAAACATTTCATTTTAAAGGCCTTTTCATTTGCGCTTTAAGATTTTTGCTGTAATAAAAATGTAATTAAAATACCCTGTACATTAAAATTTGATATCTATAAAACTAACTAACTAGAGTATTTTGTATACCTTTATTCTTCTATACCAAGAGTAGTCTCTCTATATAACTCATTGAACTCAGGAACTATGGACTCTACAAGCAACATATTTGGTATAATATATTCAAAGTCATATACTGTTTTATATACTTCATAGCACTCAGGTAATACCAAAATTGATAGACAGCCTCCTGTCACTCTAGTCTCTCTATATAACTCATTGAACTTAGGAGCTAGGGACTCTACAAGCAACATATTTGGGATACGAACTCTACTTAGATTTTTAATATATTCAAAATTATTAGCAGCCCTCGTGCTGTTATATATATATATATATATATATATATACAAATACCAAATTTTTTAGACAGCCTCCTGTCACTTGTTTAATTTATTTAAAATTATATTTTATAGATTTAAAAAATATTTCGTAGTCTTATATACCTCGCTTGCCATTCAACTTTGTCTTAAAATAATAAAATTGATTTGATCAATGCATGCTTAGTTGCTTTAACAGCACGAGCAATTGTTTATTTCAATATACGCATTTAATATTTATTTATTTATGTACATACATGTGTATCTGTCAGTTGTCTATGTAATATCTACAACTAGCTGAGCGAGCTGCATGTAAACGCCTTGTGCATGAATGAACTGTAATTTTCAACAGATTAAAGATAGTTCAGACTTGTTAGTAGACTGCTGTATACCCTAACTATGCAACTAGTAAGTTAGACTCCCTCTCTTTCTATACTGCTACATATCTCTTATTCTATCTCTTTCTCTCTTCCTTTTCTCTATCTGTCTTTTTGTCCCTTTCACTCTGATTACATAAACAAATTCTTAGCAAATACTTTGTAGAGCATTCAAGTCAACTATTTGTTAATCAACTATTATTAACCAATCAAATCTCTATATAGACAATATATAGATCTTGAAAACCGTACGATCAAGGCAGCATCTTATCAGATTTTAGACTTTGCGTAGTACAACGACTTAACCTAGCTGCTAGTCCAGTTTTGCATAGACAGAGATTAAACAAGTGCGCATTTCCAATCGACGTTTATCAATACTCGTATACTATATAATTATAGAAGTCGAGTCAAAAATACGATCGGTTTCGCTATAAAAGCAACTCGTCGAGCCGCTGACGCGAACAGTTTCGTTTGACGATTCGCAACTAGAAGAAAGAAGCAACATGAAGTGGCTGTCGTTGGCTTTTGTGCTGTCTCTGTTGGCTCTGGCAAGCGGTGAGTGCTAGTCGGGCATGCCCCAAGCAAATACCCTAACTATGCAGCCAATTCAAATGTAAATCCATCTACAGCTAATCCGCTGCATCCAGGCAACGTGATCATCAATGGCGATTGCAAAGTTTGCAACATTCGAGGCGATTAAGAAAATATATAAGAAATAAACAAAAAAAAAAATAAATATAAAATATTTGTGTTTTTGTATTTTGCCAACATTCTATTCTATTTCAGCATTTTCTCTTTAGGTAACAATTTAGACATGAAAATTAATTTCAGCTGCTGCAACGTCTCTCAACCTCCGTGCACATTGCAGTTGATGCAATGTCCATTGATGATAACATCACCGGGCCTTAGGGGGGTAGCTAGAGGTAGTGAGAGAGAGCGAGAGATTACACAACAGTTAGTCGAGCTCGTATAGCCTTTACATACCACTGGCCAGCGCCAAGAGGCCCAGCAAAAATGCAATCGATAGAATTCTCATCTTGTTCAAAGTCAACCTACCAAACCGAACTGAAGCAACTGCAATCACATTTCCGTCTTATATAGCTCATTAGGCAACTGTGCTGTTCGTAGAAATATATGTATATTATACGGCTGATAACAGGTCAATGAAGAGATTGCTCGGGAAAACCCGCACAATTCAATATATGCAAAAAGCTAAAAGTGGACTGTGGGGTGTTTGAGGCGAGCTCAAGTGACGCTTGCGCTATTTATATTTCGGATAATTAGACAGAAACGTACCAAGAATATATAATATATATTTTGTTGACACTCAATTGAGTGTCACAAGATGATTTATTGAAAAACGATATGCTCAGTAGAAGGCAGCCTCAATTTTATAGGGTATGAAAAAATATACAATGAGATAGAGCGAGAGAGAGATAGAGACAGGGGGTAGAGAGGGGGAGAAGGAGAGTTAGGCAGTGATATAAAAGAGGGATAGAGGCACTGGAAGAGGCAAAGAGATAGAGAGGGGCAGAGAGAGAGAAAAAGCATAAGAAAGAGAGTGCTGAGAGACAGATATGTGAAAGAGAGTGATAGAGGCACAGATGGAGGCCCCTAGAGACAGGGAGAGTAAATGAAACTGAAGGCCGAGTGAAAGGCAGGCTGTCAGCAGCCACATAGAGAACGAGAGAGAGAGAGACAGCATATGAGAGGCAATGCTAGAAAGGTAGCTACAAAAATTGAGAGAGAGCGAAAGCGAAGAGATAAACAACTGAATTGGAAAATTCTAAACTGATAAAAATATTTCAAATACTATATATAATAAAATAACACTATTGTGCCAGGCAAATCAGATTTTCCAAGCAGCTCATGAAATATAACTGACAAACATAGAACCAATAGCTATGCGAGAGATACCCTAGTTATAAAAATGTAGCTCCAAAAATAACTCTTTATCACATATGCAAATTTTGTTTATTTTATATATCATTTAAAAATAACTATTAATGAAAAAATTTGCTTATAAAATAATACAGCAGGCCAAAGCCAATGGCACCCGAAGTCAGGGCCTGGCTGACAGCTGCGGATACTTTGACATCCCCTGGAATGATCACGGAGTCGTCATCCTCGGGCCGATTGCAATCGACACATTTGCCGTTGATAATCACCTTGCCAGGCGTGGCTGTGGAAACAAATATATAATATATAATATATATATATAGAGTATTAGATTTCTGTGCAAATTTCATTTACCACAAACAGCAGCCAGAAGGCAGCCCAAGAGCAGCAGCTGCAAAGCAATCGATTTCATATTCACAGCAACGATTCCAAACGATCTGAAACATCGGCGTCTATATCATGCACTTTTATATAGAGCACAATTTTTAGATTGACTCGATTGGGGCACTCGACTTGGCATGCTCTCAGCTCATCGCAGAGATAGTGTTGCTTCGGTATTTCCCAACATCTAATATATATATATATTTGTTAATCTCTTCAATATTTCTACTTACCACTAGCCAGAGCCAAGAGGCCGAGCAGAAAGGCGAGCGACAGGAATTTCATATTGATTTTGTTGTGGTTTGTTCGACTGCTGTGAAGACTCAAGAGTATTTGCGATTGCACTGATGCCAAGCCACTCGTCCAGCCAGCCTTTTATAGCTGCTCAGCTCAATGTGTTATCAACTGACACTGGCACTGGCACTGGGGCTGGGGCTGGGGCTGGACCTGGCGCTTGGAATTGCCCAGTGCCAGCCGAGCTCAAGTTTGAAAAATTCCCAATTGCGTTGCGCGATATGTTGAGATTTTGCAAAACTAACTGGACTATGCACATCGAGCGTGCAAGTGAGGCACAGAGGGGAAGAGCGGCAGGGAGAGGCCAGAGCCATTAAGTATATTTTCATAGCAAAGTCTTTATAGCTTGTTTTAAAATGTAATATGGAAAAGTCTTGCATTTACTTTCTTTCTACTTTCTAATATTTTTTTCATCTGTCTCACTCTAATTTTTACAGTCATTGTCATAGATATAGTCGACTTGATGTTTCTGATATATATGTATATATATATGAATATAATAAATATATAAAAATAATAAATATATATATATATATATATAATCGTAATCTAAGAGAAATTCTAGTCTTTCTGCCTTTTCATCTTGCACTCAGCTTTTCTGTTCTATCTTTAGCAATTTGTATGCTTTCTATCTTCTTTCTTTCTCTCTATCCCAAAGCCTTGAATCTCTTTAGATATTCTTTATGCTTTTTCTCTGTACATGCATAACCTCCCTTATTCTCTCTAATTATAGCTTTCTGTTTCTATGCAAATCTCTGTCGATTTATCTGTCTCTCTTTGAAATAGTCTTTTACTCTTATTCTCGTTCTTTATCATTACTCTATGTCTCTCATAGTCTTTCTCTTTATTGTCTCTCTCGCTCTATAGCTTTCACTCTATCTCTTTCTCTCATTTTCCAACATTTTTTGCTATGTATCTATCACTCCCTCTCTTTTTTTCTATCGTGCTCATAACCTCATTTCCCCTAACACTCTGATCTGGCATTCTTTCGGTCTATTTCTAACTTTGTCTCTCTCCATCACCTGTCAATCTCTTGCTCTCTCTCTATGTCTCTCCCGTTCAACCTCACTCTTTATTTCTCTCTCTCTCTCTCTCTCACTCGTTTTATCTCTCAAGCTGAAGGAGATCTCTCTTCTATCTCCCGAGAGAGAGAAGAGGAGAGAGAAAGAGAAAAGGGAAGAGGGGAGCGAGAGAGAGAAGAGAGAGAGAAAAGAGAGAGAAAAGAGAGAGAGAGAGAAAGAGAGGAGAGAGCGAGAGGGGGAAAAGAGGGGAGAGAGAGAGAGAAGAGGAGAGGGGAGAGAGAGAGAGAGAGAGAAGAGAGAGAGAGAGATAGAGAGAGCGAGAGAGATAGCTTTCTCCTATCTATCACTCTCTCTCTCTCTCTCTCTGTCTTTCTCCATCTCTTTCTCTCACTCTCTCTATCATCTCTGCTCTATCAGTCTCTCTCTTCCTCTACTCTCTCTCTCTGTCATTCTCCATCTTCTTTTCTCTCACTTTCTCTGTCTCTCGCTCTCTCTCTCTCTCTGTCTGACTCTCTCTTCCTACCTCTCTCTCTCTCTTTCCCTGACTCTCTCTTCCTGCCTCTCTCTCTCCTCTCTCTCTCTCTCTCTCTCTCTCTCTCTCTCTCCCTGACTCTCTCTTCCTGCCTCTCTCTCCTAATATCTTATTTTGAATTCATATAGAAGGCTGCCTTTAAGTTACTTTCCTTTTACAGGGTATCTCTAACGATCATCATCCGTCCATTGATTACCACAGTTATGAGTGTTTACAATTGAAATCGAATATTCAATATCAATTGCGACGTTCGAAGCGTGGCGCCTCCACCGTTTTATATGTTAATTAACTTAATTTCTTTATACATTTCCGACTAAGCGCTAAAACGTGTTATTTAACCACTTGTTGTTGTTTTGTTTAGAAAATAAGCTGGAATCTGTTAGCCGAAGCATGCATAAATTCTAGGAAAAACAATTTGCTAAGCAAATGCAGTTCTATAAAACTGAATTTATTATTTATAGAGAGTAATCAAGTTGTTTAGTGCAGCTGAAGATATGATGTGCCTCAGCTGCTTATTAATTGGCATGCTTTTTAGTAAGTGTATAAGCCTTTGATTGATATATTCTAGGGTATATAAGAAACTATAAGCAAGCTGTCTTGATGACGTAGTCATGGCTAACGATGCCGATAATGGGCATAACACATATATAATAAAGCCTTCTGCTAACTGTTTATGCATTATCAGATTAGAACCGGTGCACGTTTTGCTATAGGGTATTCTAAGTATTAATTGTAAATAATTGTAAATGCATATTAAATACGATCATGTATAGTCAATGAGTCAGGAAACACTAGACTCTGAAGCTTAGCAATTTATATGTATTTAGATACAGGGTATTTGCTAGTCATGCTAGATGTTATTTGTATTCTAATCTATATCGGATTATGTTGTAGTCGAATAATATAATTATTATAATAAGCTAAAGTGGCATTCGTCAAAAACAGGGTATTTTCTAGTCAAATAATTTTTTATATATTTTCAATTTACAGTTACTTTTATTTATAGCTGTATTTGTCATCTTATTAAAGGGTATTTTATATGTTGTAGTCGAATAATATAATTGTTATAATAAGCTAAAGTGACATTCTTATTACAGGGTATATTTTTGTCATGTTTATTTTAATATTAGAAAAATCTGTATTTGTGTGTCAGTAAAATTTGTATTTTTAGAGGTAGGGTATATATCAGTTGAGCCAAAAATATAAATATTTTAGCATATTTTTATATGACGTTTGTTTACATGTCATAAATATAATAATATTTAATCGTTCAAGTTTATAAATCAAAATTGACTTAAAAAATGCTTTTGAGTTGTTTACTCATAAAATGAAAATATATTATATATATATATAAATATTTTTGCATAAATATAATATATATATATTAATTTTGCTGTGAATGAATTGAGCCAAGTTTCTCACAAGTTTCCTAGACATGAGCAGTAGTCTTATACTTTTCACAAACAACTCTTCAGATACTATATAGAAATCTGATTAACAGATTATTCGATTTATATATATATTTTTTTTTCTCTCACACATATATATATTTATATATATATTTATTTCAAGTTCATTCATACATATATGTATTCCTAGACTTGCAATCATCAATGATCTCCAGTTTCTTAGCTAGAAAATGTGAACATTTTTTATTGCTATAGACAATTTTTGGATTGCAAAGTAATTAATAAAATTGTTGTTTTTTGTCTAGTTTTTTATTTTATATATTTTTTTATTGCTAAGTTAATTTTGAAACGCAGTGTGTACATAAATAGATTGTGCCGAACAGATTGAGGTAAGCTAGGAGACGCTGAACAGCAGATGCAGGCCGGGGGCTACGTCTATTTACCGCCATGGACATTGCAATATTTGCAATCGCCATTGATGACCACATTGCCTGGATCGGGCGACAATGGAACAGCTATCAAAAGAGACAGAGAGAAACATTTAGTTAGTATATATTTCGATTCTGATGAGGCATTCGCTACTCACCATTGGCCAGAGCCAAGAGACCGAGCACAAAGACGGTGACAACTGAGAAGAATTTCATGTTGTTGGCTGTTGATTGTTGGTTCGACAAATGCTTGAGTTGAACTGATGCTGCCTACAACGCAGCTACGATCTTATATGGATGCTAAGCTAAGCGGCGTGCGTTCGGGAAATTCACAGAGCTAAGCTGAAAGCGAGCGATCGGACGCGCATATGGAAATTCCCAGCTGTAGACGGCGCACTTGCATTCCTTATCACAGTCTCTGGGAATATTCAAGTGTTAAGTGCTAAATCCCAGCTGACAATTGACATGCTGTGCCAAGTAGCATCTTTATTGTTACCTGGAACTGTCAGGTGCTTTATTTTGGAGCACAGATATTATAAGTAGTTAATAGACTAGTGGAGTGAGCTTTAAGTATGTCTAATTGATGAGCATTTGATGTTTGTTGTAGTTCTTTGGGAAGTCTTACTATTGCTATCTCTTACTTTGTCAGCTTCTGTCTCTTTCTTTCGCTTTATGCATCAATCATATCTGTTACTATTTAGCCATTAACCTGTAGCTTTTGTCCTTGTCTTTATTTTTCTCTCTATCTCTCTCTATTTATATAGATATCTCGATGTTTCCCCACCTCTCTCTCATTCTCTTTTACTATCTCTTTTTCTCTTTCTCCCTTCTTTCATACCTCTAACCCTGCTCTTTCTTACTCTTTTTATTTTCCCTCTCTCTCTCTCTCTTTCTGCCTATCTCTTCATATTTGTTTTCTTCTTTATTTCTCTCTGTCTGTCTTTCTCTCGCCTTTTTTCCTTCCTTCTCTCCATTTCTCTGCCTCTATTATGCTACTTCTCTGAATATTCCTAAATTTTTAGTTTGGAAAACATTTTCATTTATAAGAATCGCATAGAAAGGCGATTGCTCTCTCTTTCTAACACCCCATCTCTCGCTCTTTATCTCCCGTTTTTTCTCTTCTTTTCAGTTACTATCTCTTTTTCACTCACTCTTTCTCCCTCTTTCTCTCTCGCACTCTAAAACTCTCTCTCTCTTTACATGCTCAATCAAACAATCATGGCCTCTACAGCTTTCTTTATCTATCATTCCAATTACTTCTGGCTCAAAATTGTACTCAAAATTCACTTATAAGGAATCATATATTAATTAAAAATAGAATTTTAATAAGTACATATATATATATATATAATATATATATATATATATATATATATATATATAGTAGTGCAATCGCCTCGTCAAAATTGAAACGTGTCACGAGTTCAGCTTTGTTTAACAACTGTCAAGACATTGATAATCCGGGCAATTCCACATAATATTTATATATATAAATATTTATTTAAATTAAGATTTCTAGCATATATAGAAATATACTTTGTATACAGTATTTCTAGTATGCATAGCATTGAGTCTACTCCGACGGGAGGGCAATCAATCGATAGCTACAGCTGAATCTCTATCTCGATTTTGAATCGCGCACGATTCTAGCCGATTTGCCCACTCGACGTTAGTATAAAAGATCCATTACAGCGAGCAGAGTTAAACTGAGGATGAGGTGCCTTACGCTGTTAACTCTATTAGTTTTGGCGCTGCTCGCCAGCTGTGCGACAGGTGAGACAATTGCCAAAGGTATTCGCAATGGGATTCATAACAAGAATCGTTCCTCCAGCTGGCAAGGTGAGCATCAAGGGCGAGTGTGTGGATTGCCATAGAGATGGTACGACAACTCGTCGACCAAGTCGAACGCGTGGTCGCCAGACGACGCCCAAACCGAAGCCGAAGAGCACGAAACACTCTGATGAAGATGATGATGCTGGCTGGATGCTGAGCCAGGGCGGCTACGGAGCGCAGAGTATCTCGAGAGGCGGTCGCTACAAGAGGCAGGGCTATCAGCAGATAATTACCAGTGATCCAGGTCTAGGTGGCGGTGGCTGGTCAGGTGGCCGTGTGACCACAATCAATACACGTGGACGTCCAGGTACCTATGTGCATAACGATGACTGCGTCGGCTGCAACATAAATGGTTAAGGGGCACACAATGGGGGCTTGATTAAATTTCAATAAACGTATTCTCGAGCGCCAGCTAATGCAGTGTGCAGTTGGTTAGTTGTTGACCTTGTCAAATGTAACCAGTTTGAGCTTTGCTCAGGGTATTTCCAGCCACAGATCAAGTAGCCGACCCGTGATAAGCAAACCTAAGCCGGCCAACGTGTATATAAAGCTGTTCGGTTCGTCTCACAGCTGTACAGATGCAATTCAGATTTACAATGCGCTTATTTGTTTGTGCTCTATTTGCTGCTTTGCTGGCCATGGCAACGGGTAAGCATCAACAGTAGCCGCCTCAGCTTATCCTCTACTCTACTTGCTCCCTCTTTGCCCGCCGCCCGTCTGCAGCTGCTGTGGTCATCAATGGCGTCTGTCAGGATTGCTCGCCGCCAGATGCTGAGACTTTAGTTGTGGGCGATCGGGTGTACAAGGGTCGTCCAGGACAAGGCACTGTCTATATCAATGGACAGGGTGCCAGTGGCAGTGGCAGTGGCAATCGCAATGCAGCTGGTGCCAGGCCCTATGTGGTGCCCGATGGCTACAGTGGACGTGTGCCTGGCGGCTCCTACGTGCACAATTCCGATTGCAATGGCTGCGACATTCGCGGCTAAATCTCTGTGTATTTGCATGAACTGAAATAAAGCTGCATCTATAGAGGGTATGTCTGTGTTGTGCTTTCTATGATGAGTTTTCACTGGGCTGTTATAGGGCATATATAGCAGCAGTACGAATAGCTAATGAAAGTAGTGGGCGAATAATGCTAAGCAAAGCTGCCTTTGTCTCACACTACAGTGCTTAGATTTTTCCCATACGCTCGCTGGGGGCGTGGCGAATGCCTATGTACTATTTCGTTCATAATTTAGAAGCTAGAACTAAAGAGTTTGACAGCTCAGTTACTTCAGTCTGCCTACTGAGCTGTTTCTTAATGACATAATTCGATGACATAATTCCTACTTCTTAGTTTTTTTTCTTTTTTACAGCTTAAAGAAATTTTACATTAATTTAAAAAATAAACATTTTTTTATATTTTTAACTAATTTTATTTAAAGCCCAAAAATATTTCAAACTACCCTCGTGTATATGTAAATTGAATGTATGCTTAATAAAAAGTGAAAAAGAGTTACTCTACAGATGGCACATATAAAGTAATGCATTTACAGGGTATCAAAGCAGCCAAAAGCTCGCTTCGTAATGAATTTTAAATTTTAAATATTAAATATTTAAATAAAATACTAAAATAAATAAATAAAATACTAAAATAAGTTTCAAATTATTTATATTTTTTAAATATTTTTATTTTTCCTTTTTTAAATCAAGGAAATTTTTTATAAATATTATTTTTTTAATAAATAAATTTTTAATAAATAAGATGTTTACATTATTTAATTTTATTTAATTTAATACAATTATAATTTAATAAATGTATTTAATTTAATAAAATTAAAATTATTATATATTAATTAATTTATTTATTACTTATTTTTATATATTTTAAGGACTATACATATAGTCATAGAAGAAGAATTAATGGAAATATTATAACTAAAACAATTTTCTAGTGCCAAAATCTATAACTGTATATATAATAACTGTAAGTGAAATGTCTTTAAGACTTATAGGACATACGCTATATATATATTAATTTATATATATTTTATACATATATTATTTATTTAATTTAGTTCACTTTTTTACTTTATTTACTTTCTAATCACTTTACAGGGCATCGTAGAGTCATCTATGCCTTACGCTCGACATTTGCAAATAATATTACTAACAAACATCATTTATGTAATTCCAGTTGGGATTTACTCTCGGCTCTTGGGCAAGTCCCAAGCCCAGTTTTAGCTGCATTCCCCCACCTCAAAAGCCGTTGGCCTTTGCTTTCGCTCCTACGATCGGGGAATTATATTCTAAATACATCTTTTTGCAATGATAATGAAACGACAGCTGATGAGTGCCTATATATAAGATGCTCAGATCATGAGAAATTCTATTCAGTGCTCAAACCAAACAAGATGAGGTGGTTCGCTCTGTGTGTCTTAACGTTCGCTTGGCTGGGTCTGATTGCAGCGGCGCCTGCTGGTAAGAGTTTTATACACATAGAATATACCAATATATATATAATCATGTATCGTATATATATAAATTCAGGTCAGATACGTGTGCGCACCTCCTCCACGACGCGGGTTCATGTGCGCAATGGCAATATCAAGTGGAATGGCAATTGCCACAATTGCGACATTCGCACCACCAAAGACACCGCCCAGGTGACCAGCACCAGAAGCAAGCAATGGTCACGTAAATTCTAAGCCCATAAAACTGAGCTTAAGTAATTAACTTGATTACTCAAGTATTTATAATTCGAATTATAATGCTGCTGTCTTCACGGCAAAGTGTATATATTTTTAGTTTTAATATTTATTTTATATTTAACAGTTAATAAAGTGTCATAATAGAGTTTAGTAATCTAACTGTCTATATATCTATCTAATATTTTTTAAGTAATTTTTTAATGTAGAAAATTCTCTTTTGTTATAGATTTAAATTCTTAAATATTTTTTCAACATTTTCTATAAGCTGAGAAAACTCTTCTTACACTAAATCAATCTTTAATCTCTACATTCAAGATTTCGAAATTTCTAAATTGTTTTCTTTTTTATCTAAAGTTTTTCAATTTAAATTTTCTTTAAGGCTTTGCCCTGTTTCATTATATTAATTAATTAATTTTAAGAAAATACCCAAAATATTTTCCAACCTATTCTAAGCAAGTCGTAAATCAGCTCAAGCTGCTTTGCCACTCACAGCTTTAGTCCAAGAAAATATATTTAATGGTGGTAAAAATTGCCTTCATTTGCGAGTTTGGTGGTGCGAAGGCAGCGATAGCGACGTTGGTTGCTGCTGCTTCGGTTGCCTTTGGTGTTGCAACCCTTTTTTTTTTGGCCAAATGACATTACACGTGTTTCTTGTCTACAAATTTTTATGTGGCCTTCGCCATAAAACCAGCCGTTTCCTTGAACACTCTTTTTGCTGCTGCTTCTTCTTCGTCGTCTTCGTCTTCGTCATCGTATTCTTCTTTCTTTGAGCATGTCCTGTTTCGACATTCACGTTGCTCGCTTTTTATTGCCAAAGCACGAAGCCAAACCGCTGTGCGCCTGTAAATGACTCCCCGGGCACCTTTATATTGACTCGTAAAATTGCGACATTTAGAGCAAAACCCCCATCCTCAGCTGCAAGGCGACTAAGCAAACACTCGACCCCATCGCCCCTCCCCCTGTTCACTCACTCGACTAACCCTCTACCCGCACTTCCGGTCGTTTGTCTTTTTGTGTGTTGCCTGCTTTTCGGCGCCGCGGCGACTTTCTTAACATTATTTCGTTTTTATTTTTAAATTTGATTTTTATTTGCCTCACAGTCGCAGCCGACAACGATTTTTACGGTCGAGTGTTTTGAACCCTCTAGCTTACCTTTTTTGCACAAGCGAACAAAGGGTAGATTCGCTTCAGAGTCACCATCTAGTTCGTTTGATAAGTTGAGCTAAATTACTAAAGTATATTTACGCTCAAATATATTTTCAATATATAAATACGTCAACCATTTTTAATTTAATATTTTATATGAATATTTCCTTATTTATCATTATTAATTTCTCACAGGGTATAATATGTGCGACTACTGTTAAATTGATTATTAGTTCCCTGCTGTTACTGCTACCATCGCCGGAAATTGACTTGGAAAACGTTTCAGTATTTGTTTTTGTTCTCTTTAGGGCGTGCAGCTCGAAAAATTGAAATCGGGCATTATGTTTGGGAGCAGCGGCTATAATCGCAGTGACACGCCCATTGGAGGAAAAGCACTTTACAGCGTTCACTTTCTGTCTGATTTTCACTTAACATTCGGTACCGTTAATCATTGCTTTTGCATATTGATCTTTGCTTTGCCATCAGATTAAATAAATCGAATATAGAGATGTCACTGCGCTCTTGAGTTTTTAATTTACTTCATCTTTAACTGTTAGCTCGCTATTGTTGGTGCTTCTGCGTTCACTGCTCTGCTTGCAAATGATAACTGTTGTTTACTTATTCCATTCTCTTCGCGAGTGGCTGAGTTTCGAAGCTTCCCTCTCTGTTGCATATGTTTGCTTGTGTGTTTATATGTTTCTGTTTGCTACGTTTATATGCAGTAATTAATTAATACACATATTTAATTAAGAAATAAAGTGAAATGTTGTGAAATGTAGTGAGGTGTGAGCTAATCAATCAATGATGCGTACAAATTTAATTTAATTTAATTTATAAAAAAAATAAACATCCATACATATGTAAGTACATACTGTACATACAGTATTTTTATATTAAATATTAACTAACATAGTACATGTGCATGTGTACCTATAGATACATACGTATATGCATGTAGCCCTAAGAGCAAAAAATAATTAAACCGAATAGCTCGCCTTAAAGAGAACGGCAAACGAAAGCATTTGGCTTAAGCCTGTAGTCTTAAGCTGCTCTCTTCCTTACACACTAGCAGCAGGCAAAGCAATGCTCGTACTTTCGGTTGTTGTTGTTTGTTTCTGTCTGTGTTTTGCATAGTCACAAATTGAGGTCTGCTTTTTCTGCTCAATCAGACAGTTGCAAAGGGCATTCTCCTTCCCTCCTTCTCTCTCTTTCTCTTCTCTTTCTCTCCATCTCTTGTGCATATTAGTTGCTCTGGCGCCCTTCAAAGATAAGCCTGCAGACGATTAAAGCAGAGAATGAAAAATCCACTTTTGTTGTTGTTATGCTATGCAAAGGCTTTGTTGTTGTCTATGATTTTAAGTTTCTTTTTTGCATTTGCAGACAACTGTAAAAAGAAAGCTTGAAGCTCGCAGTGTACTTCACTGCTCAAATACGCAATGGCAATAGCCACGGCATTCGAAACTTTATTAATTTGAAATATGCAGGCGAAGGTGTGGCTGGGTCGGCGGGTCAAAAATGATTTATTGGATTTTTGAAGAGCGCACTCGAGCGAACAATTCAATTCAATGTTCAGCGTAAAAGCGTTCATAATTAATTTAATTTTTTTGCCGCACAGACATTGCGCATACGCAACGTTGCGCGGCTACATAAATGTTGGATATATATGTATAAACATATATATAAAAGTATTCATATATATTTACCTTGGCTCTTGCCATGAGGTTCTTTCGCTTAATCTACGGTTCGTAGTGAAAGTGAGCCGCAATTTATTTAACGTTTTTTTCTTTATTTTTTAATTTCACCCTTTCAATTGCAATGAATTTCAACCCCATTTCAGCGAGGTCCTTGTTGCTGTTGTTGTTGTGCATTTAAGTGGCATTTTCTGTTGCACATCTCACAGGATGTGGCAGGATGCCGCTGCAGAGCGTATGATATAAATTAATGAATAATTGAGAGAGAGAGAGATGGAGGAAGATAGAGACAGAGACAGCTGTCAGGAAATGTTTATTAAAGGAAAGGAAAGGAAATGTTTAAGCTGTTCAAATTTGCTATTAAATCAAATAAGAAATTTACTAACTAAATAAATATTTTATAAAAATTTATTTTAAAGGCATTTTCATGGTTCGCTGCCTTTATTTATTTTAATTGAGAATTTTATTGAATTTTATTTTATAATATATATTTTACCTCTGGCAAATTGCATTATGAATTTGTAATTATTTTTTGCATACTTTTTGGAGCGTTTTGTCAGTTCAAATTTCACTTTGATTTGATTTTTTGTGAATATTTTTATTCATAAATTATGTGATTGAAAGTACATTTATAACACATTTCAATTAATTCTGATTATTTTTTTGAATAATTTTGCATGACTGCATTTGCTGCATGGATTTTTAATTAAAGCACTGTATTTATATTTAAATATTTATTATATTGATTATTATAATTAGTGTCGAAGAGATTTAATAAACGCAACTGATTGACTTAATAAATTTTTTATAAAGAAATTATGCATTATATAGTAAAAAATATACGAATTTATTAACTTTTCTCTGTATAGATTAACTACAAAGCTTTAAGAAGCTTGATTGAACTTGTTAAGCTGCTTAATGGGAATGGATTGGCCTTTGGCTTATAATTATTGCGAAACTGAGCTTAATGTAAGCTTTTCAAATATTCATATATGTAGCTTCATAGAATATATTAAAGCTATCTTGCGCCTTTAAAGCTTTTCGCCTACAGCAGTTGGCCATTGTTTATGCTGTCGATTTTCAATTAAGCTCGATTCGAGTGCAAACGTAATTCTTTACTTGTAATGGAGCTGACAAGCTGTGTGGGCTAAGGGGATGGGCACACGAGTATGTGACAATCAGTAATCTAGCTTGAATGGCATGTCCATACACACACACACACACACACACACCTTTGGTGTATTGAATGTGCGCATGAAACTTGACTCGGGACTGATTTCATTTTCGTAATTACCTCAGCGACTGCAACCTCTGTGCCTGCCTGCCTCTGGCTCTGGCTCTGGCTGTTGTTGCTGCTGGTGTCTGCAGGTGTCGTAGCTGCGGCTTAACGAGTTGATTAAATGTTGTAATTGATGAAATTGCGATGCGAAGCGAAGCTTTAAAGGTGTAAATGCTGGGCTTTGATAAACATGTGGCGGGGATAAACATGTCATTGTCATTAGAGGCCTAAGAGAGGGCGTGCCAGCTGGCGAGGGCACAGGAAGGCGACTGGACAGTGCGCATCAATCAAATAAGCACGAAATGCACACGTTTTCATTTATAAATATTTGCGGCAAGGGTCGCACGACTACACAAAAGGCCGAGGCAGAGTTTTTTTTTTCGTTTTTGCACTTTTTGAGGGTTCGCTTTCGCAGCCAAAAGGCAGAAATAAAAAATGATTTAAAAATTGAAAGGATTATGGGGCGAGCAACAACAACAGCAACAGCAGCAGCAACGAAGCGCGTTAATGTTGATGCCGCCGCGGGGCAAGCAGCAAAAAAAAGGGTCGGCAAAAAAGGCAACGAATTGAGAGCGGGCGAGAGGAAGGGCGCTATAGATCTGACTGTGTATAGATATATATATTTACTGATATATATATGTATATATATATATATATATATATATATATGTCTCGCTGGTGTTGCTGTCAGTCAAACAAAACTGTGCAAAAATCAACGAGGCAAATGCGAAACAAAAAGCCAAAGCTGACAGAGGGAGGCAGAGAGAGAGAGAGAGAGAGAGAGAGAGATAGAGGGCAAGGCTGTACATGTGAGTGTGTGCGTCTGTGTGTGTGGGCAGAGGCCAAACAGCATTGTTGTTGTTGATGGTCAACAATATAATTTGAACAGGAATGAA